TTTTCCAGACAGACGGCCATTTGTACAGGCTGGACTTGTTTGAAGAGTCCGTTGAGGGAATCGTGAGAGCAAAGTTTGACATTAGCCAACTAACAGCCTTGAGTTCTGTGTCAAGATTGTTCTGCTGTTGGGTTTTGTCAGTCTAGTTCCAACCCCTGCTGACCCTCCCCCTCCCACCCTCAGTCACAGAGTAGAACTGACCCACAGGGTTTCCTAGGCAGCAACATTTACAGACTCAAATCACCAGACCCTTCCCCCATGGAGCTTGTGGATGAGTGAGAGTCACAATTATATTAGCTGCCAGCTGCTTAACTGTTGCTGTCAGAGCTCCTTCCATCCACAGGAGTCAGCCTTAACCCTTGTGAAGGGTGGTGTGTAAGCCAGGAAGGAGATGGCACAGGCAGGTGGCCTTGAGGTGACTGATCTGGGAGAAGTTCGGGGAGTGGCCAGAATGAAGTGGGTGAGTGTGTGGTGAGGGGCTGGCAGTGGTGGTAGGACAGCTAGGAAGACAAGCTTGGATGTGGTTGCTGGAGTTTCTCTGTGATTTTTAACTCTTCCCGTTGAGTTGGTCTCTGACTCCAGGCAGGCTTATGCACAAAGGAACAAAGTACTTTCCTATGATCAGCTGTGGACTACTATGGTCGGGTTTTCATTGGCTAATTTTTGAAAGTAAACTCACCAGATCTTTCTTCCTAGCCAGTCTTACCCTGGAAGCAATAGGAATGTGTAAGCCTCCACTGATAGACATGGTGGCAGCGCTTGAAGCTCATTGGTTGGGAATCCAGCCCAGGTCTCCCACAGAGAAGACAGTTGTTCTACATTGAGCTAAGTTTGTGAACTTTAGCCCTGGTTGCACACATCTGGCTTGAGCAATCAATATCTCTAACATGTGGGTTAAATGTCCACTCAGAGAACCTGTATTGCACATGAACTTTAGGTAATTTACCGTGTAACAAAGTTATGGCATTATACCACCCTCACTGGGACACAAGACAGGGGTGCATCCCCTTCTCAGTGCTTCCTTTGGTGTTAGGTTTCATCAAGTTGACTATGACTCATAAGGACCCAATGAACAACAGACCTTGACCTTGCCCTACCCTGCACCACCCTCATCTTCTCTGCTATGCTTGACTCCATTGTTAGTGTTTCATTCCATTTTGTTGAAGGTCTTCCTCTCTTTCGCTCCCTCTCCACCTTTCTCTGCATAATGTCTTTTTTAACATGCACTGACAACATGTCCAAAGTATGTACGATGACATTTCACCATCCATGCCTCTAAAGCACCCTAGTTGCAGTTCCTCCAAGGCTGATTTGTTTATTCTTCTGGCAGTACATTAGTTATTTGCTGCTTTTCTTCTACATCACAACCAAAGGCATTAATTCTTCTCTCATTTTCACTCATTGTCCAACTTTCAGGTGCATAGGAAACAATTGAAAATACTATGGTTTGGATCAGGTGCATCTTAGTTTTTAAATTGCATCATTCTTGTTAGCACTTCAAGAGGTCTTTGACAGCAGATTTTCCTAATGCACTGTATCTTTTGATTTCTTGACTGCTGCTCTCATTGGTGTTGGTTGTGGATACAAGCAAAATGAAATGTTTGACAACTTTAATCTCTTCTTCTTTTGTCATGATGTTACTTATTCGTCCAGTGATGAGGACTTTTGTTTTCTTGATGTTGAGATGTAATTCATATCGAAGGCTGTAGTCTTTGATCATCTGCAGCAAGTGCTTCAAGTCCTTTTCACTTTCTGGAAGCAAGCTTCTGTTACTTGCATTGTGAGTCTTCCTCCAATCCTGCTGCCATATTCTTCTTCATATAGTCCAGCTTCTCAAATTATTTTCTCAGCATGCAGATTGAGCAGGTATGGATAAAGGATAAATTCCTGCTGCACACCATTGCTGACTTTAATAAACTTTGTTCTATTCAAACAGATGCTTCCTAGTCTAGGAATAGGTTTCACATGAGCATGATTACATGTTCTGGGATTCCCATCCTTGTCAATGTTAGCCATAATTTGTTATGACTAATACAGCCAAATATCTCTGTGGAGCCAAAAACACACACACACACACAAAATATATTTCTGGTATTCCCTGCTGAAAATGCATCTTATAGCAGCAATTACATCCCTGATGCCATGGCCTCTTTTGAATCCCTTTCAATCTTCCAACTACTTTAAAATAATCTTCAAGGGAGCTCTGGAGGCCTAGTGGCAGGAAGTTGTGCTACAATCCTGAAGGCCCATGATTTGAATCCACCAGATGCTCCACTAGAGAAGGAGGGGCAATCTCCTCTTGTGCCAGTCTGATGTGACTCAACAGTACACAAGAAGAATAAAATAAAAAAAAAAACAAAACAAAACACCAAACTTCAGCAAGATTTACTTATGTGTAATGCTAATGAAGAAACTGTGCTGCAATCCTGAAGGCACATGGTTCAAGGTCACCAGGGGCTCTGTGGGAGAAGGATGCACAATCTCCTCCCATGCAATTAACTGCCTCTGAAAGCCTGCTGGAGAGTCAACTACAGGTTGATTCCGACTCTATGGTACTCAACAACAGTAATGTTAACGACATTGTTTGATAATTCATGCACTCTACTGGATCACTGTTTTGGGGATGGGAACAAATATGAATCTCTTCCAGTCAACTGACTCGGACTGTAGCGGCTCTTCCTTGGTGCTGACTACATATATCACAAAGACGTCTCTCTTTTTATACTTCTTACACTTCATTTCCTTTTACTTGGTAAAGAACAAGTAGCTTAGGTAAACAATACTGACTAGGTAGACTTTTAGGGAGTTTTTGCTTTCATGAAATTAATTTTCTATTTACCAGGTGACATGCATTCTTGGTTTTCCTTTGACTGTCCTTGTATGGAATTTTCTGTTCTAGTAAGTTCATTGCAGCAAGAAAATGAGAGCCAGCTTTTTTAGATCAAATGAAAGAAAGGGAAAAGCTTGTGGTTTACATGCTCAGCTGCTAACTGAAGTATCAGAGGTTGGAGTCTGCCCAGAGACTGCTTGGCAGCATAGCTCCAAAATATCAGCCATTGAAAGACTGCCCTGTTCCCACATTCATAGAGTTGCCAGGAAGTGGAGTTGATGCCAAGAAAACAGCCTATGTGTATATGTGTGTTTATAAGTGTTTAAGTATGTATACATATATGTTTATATGCATATGTTTATGTCTGCCTGTGTTTATATGTGTGAAATATATATCCACTTCCATAAATAGCTTACCTCTGGAAACCTTATGAACCTGGTCACGCTGAGTCGCCTACAACTTGTCGGCACTCAACAACAACAACATATGTATAAAGATATGTGTGTATGTATTTGTTTATGTGGTGTTGTTATTGTTAGGTGTTGTTGAGTATGATTCATAGAGATCCTATAAACAGAAGATCTGAACCCTGTTCTATCCTGCGCCAGCCTCACACTTCCTGACACACAGAGCCCATTGCAGCAGTCACTGTGTCAATCCACCTGGTTGAGGGTCTTCCTCTCCTTCACTGACCCTCTACCCTTCCCACCATTGTGTCCTTCTCCAAGGAATAGCCCCTCCTAGCAACATGTCCCAAGTATGTGAGGTGAAGTCTCTTCATTCTTACCTCCAAAGAGCACTCCAGCTGCACCCTCTCCAATATCTATTCATTTGCACTTATCTATTCATTTTCTTGGCCATCCATGGGATGTTCAATCCTCTTCTCCAACACCACAGCTCAAAGGCATCGATTCTTTTTCTGCATCCTAATTAATTTTCAATTTTCTTTGGCCTCAAGTTGAACTTGCATATGAGTATATCTGTTTGATATGTTGCTAGGAGAGGCTATTCCTTTGAAAAGGTCATCATACGTGGAAAGATGGAAGGTCATTGAAAGAGAGGAAGACCTTCAATGAGATGGATTGACACAGTGACTGCAGCAATGGGCTGAAGTGTGTGAGGGATGATGGGGATGACACAGGATAGGATGGAGTTCAGGTCTGTTGTTCATAAGGTCGTGTTAGTCACTTGACGGCAACTAGCAAAAAATATATTTATGTACATAGAAATGTGGGTATATGTATATATTGTTGTTGTTATATGTCATCAAGTTGCCTGCAACTTGAGCTACCCTATGTACAATAGTACTGCCCTTATCCTGTGCCAGTCTCATTGTCTCCAACACACCTACCCCCCATAACCCCAGTCACTGAGTCAATCCATCTCATCTGGGGTCTTCCTCTCTTGTACTGTCCCTCCACTCTTCTAAGCATGATATCCTTCTCCAAGGACTGGGCCTTCTTGGCAACATGCTCAAAGTATCTGAGATGGAACTTCAAAATCTTTGCCACCAAGGCTATATATAGCATGTATAGTTGTGGTGCTGGAGACAAGCGTGAACCGACCATGGACCACCAAGAGAACAAACAGGCCTGTATTGGAGAGGGTGAAATCAAGCTGTTCCTTGGTGGATTTGAACCAAGAGCCTTTGGGATTATAGCACAGCTTCTTACCTTTAAGCCAGGAGAACTCCCGGCATATATGTATATGTATATGTATATGTATATGTATATGTGTATGTGTATGTGTATATGTATATGTATATGTATATGTATATGTATATGTATATGTATATGTATATGTACAGGAGCTTTGGTGGCCTAGAGACAAGAATCTGTTCTGCACTCCAGAAGGCATGTGGTTTGAGGTCTATGGTAACACACACACACACACACACACACACACGTATGTATGGCAGAAATAGTGACGTTGATGAGCAATGGTAAAACTTTGGAAACACTGTGCTACACTCTGTGGCAGAAGCTGGCAGAAGCCAAAGAACCATCTCTAACTGCTAGGTTCAGAGAGGCTCTGGGCACTGTGGGAGGCGGTGTGTGTGGCAGTGAGAGCTGCACTGCTGGTCTAGGGCAGTGGGTCAGTTGGGGGTGAGGGTCTCACTGGTTCCCCATCACTAGCCTAATGCTTTCCCATCTCTTACCTCTGTCCACAGAGATCCGCACGCAGCTGGTGGAGCAATTCAAGTGCCTGGAGCAGCAATCTGAGTCTAGGCTGCAGCTACTTCAAGACCTCCAGGAGTTTTTCCGCAGGAAAGCAGAGATTGAGCTCGAGTATTCCCGCAGCCTGGAAAAGCTGGCCGAGCGCTTCTCCTCCAAAATCCGCAGCTCCCGGGAGCACCAGTTCAAGTGAGAAGGACTGGGGTCTGGGGAGAAGGGCAGTGATGCTGGGTGGTCTGTGGTCAGGTGGTCACAGCGAAGTAGTGGGCAGGCGAGGATTCGGTGGCAGCAGGTGGCTGAGGCTTTAGTCCTAGGACTCAAGCTATTCACCCCACTAAGCCTCAGTCTTCCTCTGTGTAAAGTGGGCATAGAAATAGCTTCTATGCATAAAGTTGCTGGGAGAGAAACTAATAATCCAAGAGATTTGCTTGTCCTTGTGAATGTTCAAAAAATTATTACAACTCTTATTGTCCCGCCAAGCCCATGGCACTGAGCTGGGCACCCCGTGCACACAGTTGAGAACCCACCTCCTTTTCTGGGCATCCTGACTTGATTCTGTTCTCTTTCACCTGAGGGTCCACCAGCCCACTTCCAAACTCCTACCCAATGACCTTGAAAACTCTTCCCCACGAACTGACGCTCAGCGCACTTCTCACCCCCCAACACTCGAAATGTTTATCCACCTTATTTACCCTATGGAAGTGATGTGCCCTTCTCTCCTTCCCAGCCCTGACTTCTCACATCCCAGGCCCTACTGTTTCCTTCTCTGGGCTCCACCCTCTGGGGCCTTGAGCAGGGGACTCTGAATCACTGAGCTATATTGCATTCTGGAGTGTGACCCTGTAGTCAGACAGTGATTCAGGGGGGAGTTTGCAGGCTTCTAGTGGGCCCTGTTCCCCAGAGTGGACTTCTTCTGCAAGGCCGCTCCTCCTGGCCTGGTCTTCCTCAGCAGCCCTTCCTGGCCCTCCTCCACTCCCCACTTCACCTTCCTTACCATGCTGCCACTTCACCCACCTGGCCCCTCCTCTGTTTCCTTGCTTCCATCCATTTTGCCCGCTACATTTTTGCTCTGACCAGGGAGCTCTCTTCTTTCCAGCACCCTTAAACCATAATCAAGCCGATACCAAGTAGAACTGGCTGATTTTTTGACAGTAGTTTGCAACGCCTTTCTTCCAAGGTGTCTCTGGGTGAACTCTAATGTCATCCCCTTCAGTTATAAGTTGAGTGTCTTATGCATTTGTGCAGCCTGGGCCTTCTCTCTTCCTTTAAGCCCTCTACCTCCCCACGCATCTCTCCCTCAGGAGCCAGGGCACAGTGCATTACATGCTGGCTGCTAAGTCAAAGGCCAGCAGCTGGGACCAGCCAGCTGCTTTGAGGGAGGAAGAGGGGCAAGGCTTTCCTCCTGCCAGATTTATGGCCTCAGAACCCCGAGAGTGGTTCTAGAGGGTTGCCAAATTAAAGCAGAATAGCATCTTCCTTACTCTGTAACAAAGCACTTGAATACTTAGTTTGGGGTTTTCGTCTCTTGATACCTTACAATAAGAAATTGCTTTATTATCACTAAAAAATGCATTACACATTTGCAAAACACATGGATTTATTTTCCTGCACCATCTCATCTATTAACGCTTTCACTGCAAGAGGAAATTACTATTAACAACTTTTTCCTGGGCAGTTTCCTTTCATAAACATTATTTCATTTTTTCCAAGAGTTTTTTTTTTTAAGAGAGGACTTGTGGCTTTTTAAATGCTAAAAAGAACATTCTCATTACATATTACCATACCAAAGAGGTGGGTTGGGGTGGAAATATCTCCTAAGCAACTACTGCTTACATTTGGTTTCTTTTAAAATTAGTTTTTAGAGTAATTTTGTGTTTACAGACAAGCTTGCATGAAAGGGCGGAGAGCTCCCGAACACCCCTCCATACCCTATGGGTACTTCACTTCTTGTTAGCATCTTGAAATTGTGTGACACCTTTGTTACAATGGTTGAGCCTATTTTGATACATTATTGTCAAAGAAAGTGCACAGTGTGTCATACAGTTGGTAGACTTTAACAAATGTCTATATATCCATTATCACAGTGTGCTCAGCTAGTCCATTCCTCCTGACCTCTGGCAGCCCCTTTTTTCCTACCTCTCTGATTTTACTGAGGAGTCCTGGTGGTGAAATGTTGGAGCAGCTTGACTGCTAACCAAGGGATCTACTGTTTGAACCCACTAGGGGCTCTGAGGGAAGAAGATGTGACAATCTGTTTGCATAAGGATTATACCTTAGGAAACCCTATGGGGACACTGTCACTCTGTCCTTCAGGCTGCTGGTATGTGTTGGGCTGCTGATGGCCAAGTTGGTCATTTGAACCCATCAGCCACACTGCAGGACAGAGATGAGGCTATCTGCTCCCATTAAAATTTACAGGCTCAGAAAGCTTAATGAAATCAACTCCATGGTGGTTGGGTTAGTTGGAGGAGTGTAGGGTGACTAGAAGATAGTGAGATTGTGTCTTACATACTTTGAACATATAATTTTTGAGGAGGGTCAACGTAAGAGAGGAAGACTCTGGATGAGTTGGATTGACACAATGACTGTAGAATAGTGTCACGTCAGAGACAGATTGACTCAGGATAGCACAAGATTCAGAGCCGCTGTTGCTGTGAGTTGCAGACCACTTAAAATCACCTTACAACAACAAATTAGTTTGAATCAGCATGATAGCCATGATTTTTTAAAATTTGCATAGTTTCACCTTTTTTTAGCATGTCATGTAGTTGGAATCATCCATTATGTAGATTTTTCAGACTGGCTTCGTTCTTCAACAATATGCGTGTAAGGAAATGCCTTCTCATAGCTTCACATCTTCTCAGAGCTCACTTTTTATTAACTACTTCTGGAGGCACGTATGCACCCCTTTGTTTATTCATTCTCCTATGGAAGAGAAAAATGAGTTCTTCCTCCACTTTCTTTTGGTAGCAGCACGACAGGAATGATTTACTGAGCTCATTAACTGAGAGCTTGCTCTGTGCCCTCTGGGCATTAATGCCCATCTCAGAGATCTGAGAAGGCAGCTTGTCCAAATGTGTGTTGAAGAGAGTCAGCCGGACCAATCCTTCCCTGCTCTCCCAGTGCAGCCCGAGAGGAGAGAGGACTGAGTCGGCCTGAGGCAGCACAGTGTTTGGACACTCTTGCAACACATACACACACAGTTCCTTACACTGCTTGTAATGAGCTCGGCCAGCCCCTCACGGGTTCATTAACTAAGGCCACCAGATGGAACGGGGGCCGCAGCTGGCAGCCGGGCCACCAGGGCCGCCTCACACACCATGCAGGTCTAATTAGGACTTAGGCCCAGGCTGCACAGCTGGGCAGGGCCCTCTGCACGATGCTAATGCACTGGTGTCACCCTGAAGCCTCTGAAAGTAGCATCCCTGGGGAAGGCTGGACTCACCCTTTGACCTTAGGGCCGACCATTGCAGCGCTGAGTGTCTCTTCTTGGAGCTCAGAGTCCCTGGATGGGGCTGCACTGGGGGATCCATCTACGTGTGTTTCCCCCTTATTAACATCTTGCATTTGTACAGCATACTTGCTCCAAATGATTGAACCAGTACACGTTGTTGGTGACTCAAGTTCTGGGCAGTTGGAAAATGTATGAGTGTCCAGGAGATGTGTGCAGGACATTGTTTAAAGAAAAGCTCAGATGCTGACTCTGGGCTTACCTGGGGCAGGTGGAACATGTACACAATGGCAGCATAGATTTCCACTCTCCCATCACATATTTCCATTCTGTCAAACCTTTCCAAGCACCCTGACATCTTTACTCCCATAGAAGCCTTCTAATAACCCAGACCAGCAGTGAGGGAGCACAGAACCATTTCACACAAACTGAGTAAAAGCAGCAAGTTATTTTCTTTAGTCAAGAATGTGCCATCAGCTGCTGAGCCATAAATCCAGGGTTCCTGACTTCCAGTGTGGGCTTCTTGCTCCAAAGAGCCACATGGTCATTCACTTGTTCAAATGTGTGCTTTGAGAACCCCTTTCCTACCTGGTCTGGCTTCACTATTGAGAGGATGGAGATTAATGTGATATAAGCCCTGCTCTCAGATGTGCCTTTTCTTGAGAGATCAGGCTCGGAGAATCCCTGATGGTTGGGACACGTGCTCAGTTCTGGGGCTCTGACCTTTGGAACCCCACCTCCAAATTGCCCCTCCAGCCACAATGTTTAGTATCACTTCTTCTGGGAAGCTTTCTGATTCTGCCTGACATCTTCCTCCATAGGCCCATGATACTCTGTACTTGTTGTTGTTATTAGATGTAATCGAGTCAAGTATGACGCAGGAGACCCCTATGGAAAACAGATCTTAATCCTGTCCTATGCTGTGCCATCCTCATAATCTCTGACATACTTGAGCCCATTACTGGAGTCATTGTGTCAATCCATCTCATTGGGGGGTCTTCCTCTCTTTCATTTACTGTATAATTTCCATACACTTTTCCAAGCATGATGTCCCTAACCAAGAAATAGCCTCTCCTAGCAACATGCCCAGGATATAGGAGATGAAGCTTTATCATCCTTGCCTCCAAGGAACGCTCTGGTTGTACTTTTTCCAAGAAATATCTGTTCATTCTTTTGGCAGTCCATGAGATATTCAGTATGCTTCTCCAACACCATGACTCCAAGACATCAACTCTTCTTCTGCCATCCTTATTTGTTGTCCAGCTAGCTCTCAGATGCATAGCAAGTGACTGAAAAGACCATAGCCTGAATTAAGCACACCTTAGTCTTCAAACTGACATCATTGCTCTTTGGAATTTTAGAGAGGTCCCTGACAGCTGACTTGCCCAATGTGATATGTCTCCTGATCTCCTGACAGCCAATATGTTGACTGTGGATATCCGTGCAAGCTGAAATCTTCAAGAATCTTAATCCTTTTCTCTGTCCGTCATCATATTGTCTATGGAAAGGATTTTTGTTTTCTTGGCATTGAGATGCAATCCATATTGAAGTCTGCAGTGTTTAACTTTCTGCACCAAGTGCTTCAAGTCCTCTTCACTTTCAGCAAGTAAGATTGTGTCACCTGCATAACATAGGTTGTTGATGAGTCTCCTTCAATCCTGATGCCACATTCTTCTGCACAGAGTCCAGTACACAAATTATTTGCTCCCTTTCTTCCAACCTTTAGATTAGTAGTTGA